TGATGAGGCATAGAACAAGAAAGATGATGGACACTATCAATGAAGAGGATAAAGATGGTAATAGCTACAATGATTCACTTTCTGCAACTTCCAAGAGCTCAGCAGCAACTAATTCAGTCCCCGCAGGTGCAATGGCTCCTCCGACTGCTGCTGCTGCTGCTTCGCCTCCTGCAACTACTGTGACCGCCAACTCCGAGTATTTTTTGAATGGGTTGTCGAGTTTTTCAAATTTCGGTAATTAGAATGATTTGGTTTTGGTGAACTGAAGATGTAAGTACATGGTAATGTAACCAATGTTATGATAGCTAGTTTGAGTATGATTGTTTGCATCGCTGCTGTAAAGAGTTTGAAAATTTTCATATTAATAAAACATTGGTTGATAACTAGCATCAGTGGTTTGTCGTTTTATTATCTTGAAATCATGGGGGTTCAGTTACTATACATGAATGCTATATGCCCAACAATTCGATCGAAAGATTCGATATCTGTATAGGCAACAAGACTTGTCCACGAACTAAAATCGTAGCCCTCGAGCTTTAATGTTTATATACGACAACCTAGCTGAACTGATACATGCACCGCTATTCACGCCGTTTCTTTTTCATCTCATTATTGCAAATTTAGAGGAAGAAAAAGGGGGTCACCGAACAAACCCTCGTCATTACTCGGGATAGATAGAGGGGTGGGTAGGGATGGCAGGGTCGTGTAGGGTTTTTTATCGACCTGAATCCGATCCAAAAAATAGACATTAACATCCAAAACCGATCCAACCCGAGGAATCATATAATTTTACCCAAACCTGATCCGACCCAAAATCGACTATATACATTCGACCAGACTTGACAATAATTTTTAAACCATAAAAATGTCTCATTTTTACTTGAAATTCACCTGTCTGTGCAGCACAAATTTTATAAAAATAATTCTGCTAGTCTGCACTGTTTCGTACAAAATAGAAATACACATTTACTAAATGTAAATTGTGTTGCAAACATATAAATTACTCTTTAAAATAAATATGCTATTTTGCTCTTGTTTGTATAAAAATAAATTTATATTATTATGCTCTAACCAGCATATAAAAATAAAAGAAATGCACATTTGCAAAATGAAAACTTTCTTACAAACATATACATTTGCAAAATATAAATTGTCTTACAAACATATAAATTCTATTATTCAAGAACCATGCATAATTTTTTTGCAAAGTCGTGGATGGGTTTGATTTTTAACAATTTTTTGAAGAAATTTAAAAGTTAAAGAAACAATATCTTAAACTATAAAATGTATAAAAAATAAAAAAAATTGAAATCTTACTCTTACCTTGCTGTCGAAAAGATTCTCTTGGCCTTCTTCCCACAGCACAGCATATAGTCCCACCACAATCAGCACTGCTTCTATTATGCTGTGATTTAGACCATGTTAAACAAGACGACATAATTGATTAATTGATTGGTTAAGGAATTAATTACCTTCCGAGATAGAACTTTTCTTTGAGAAAGAATGCGCCCGCTAAAGCTACTAAGACGAACAACAAAGGTCTGAATGCCTGAAACTAGAAGTGTAAAGCGACAAAGATGTAGCCTTGGAGTTGGAGAGACGAACAGGGAGTCGAAATGTAACACTTTTACTTGTATCGTGCAGTATAGGCCTTTAGGTAGAGAAAATTAGGGGAAAAATTAAACTCTAAATTATATAATGATATTTTCGTAATTATCCCAGGTCGGGACGGATGTACCCTTAACTTTACTCCGATTTTTCCTCTTTCAAAACATGACCAGACCTGACCCAAAATCGATTTTTTAAAGAAAAAAATCAAGACTACCGGGTTGGATCGGGTCAGAATACATCGGTGTCGGATTTTTTTTATCATCCCTAAGTGAGTGGAGCGCTAAAAATTTAAAATTACTTATATTTTAGATTTGTATGTATTTTTATTGAAAAATAATTTTGTCTTCCTAAACTTTGTATAAAATATTAATACCACATTTTTTTTTACTTTCATGTTTTGCTATATTTTCTTAATTAAAATATATTTAAAAATCTACAACTAGAATAATAAAATAAAATTTCAACTTAAATTTATTAGGATGAATGCTATTTATTATGTTAGGTTTTATGATAAGGATGTAATTATGAAAAAAATAGATCAAATATATTATTTAATATCTTATTTTGCAATCAACTCTTCTAAACTATTAAATTTTTCGGCATTTTCATTTTTAACTTATTTTGCATAATAAATTTTTTTCAAAAAGATGTTTATCAAACACTAAAATGAAGGGTTTAACTAACAATCATCTATATTTACTCAAATAAATTAAAAAGATCTTCAAAAAAAAATTTATTAAACACCCAAAAAAAAAATATTTTTTAACTGTACATAATATAAAATATTAAAAAAAACATTTTCAGTTGAATATAAGTACGTAATTAAAAACTGACAACATTGAGTACTTTTGTGCCAAAGCAAAACTAAGATTATGTAACTTTTTTTAGTGAATATTATAATAATAATTTTGAACCCATTTTTTTAGTTTCTGTATCCGCCATTCCAATGAGGTAGAGCGCTGTGAGGTACCGACTCCCATTCTCCTTTTTATTTTCTTTTCTTCTCAATTCTGAAATCTCAAGTTAGGGTTTGCTTTTCTTTCTTTTCTTCTTTTTTGGGTTTGATTCTCTGTTTCTTGTATGAATCATAACGTTAGGTTTTGTTGGGTGTGTTTAGCAGCGGGAAAAGATTGAGTGCTTAATTGTTTTTCGCACTGGTGGACACCTTATCAAGACTTGTTTTTTAGGACCACCAAAAAGTGAAAGCATTTTTGAAGGTGCTGTAAATTTTGATCCAATTGTTTAGCACAATCAGTTATACCCCTGGCTGAATGGAAACGATGCTAATTCTGGCTGTAGTAGCTCCGGCACCGGTGCTGATGTTGGTGCATATCCTTGGGAAGAGAGTGCAGTCTGAGTCAGCGGCATCTTTGTATAAGGTTAGTGTCACAGTAATGAAATATGGTGGATAGCGCATCTGGGACTTGACATTTCTTTTCTTGATTGAAAAGCTCGGAGAATGCTCTAATTGATAACTTGCTAACATGTCTTTTGACGAATTTGAAGTGCTAGTCCCAGCTTTCCAGTCATGCATTTGGACCCTGTTCTTACATGCATGGTTTTGTGAATTATTTGCTGTTCTTATGGATCTGCCCTTAATTTAGCTCGTGGGAAGAGTCCAAGTTTGTGAAAACCTTCCACTAAAATTTACTTTGGGGCCATACATGAACTTTTGCTTTATACATGAGCCATGACAAGCATATTTCGTTGAGGCATTTGGATAAATAACTTCCAAAATTGGAAATGAAGGCTACCTGTACCTTTTATCTGCTTGACATTCTTAAAGTATCCCCTCATTTTCACTACTAGCCTATTTCCTTATGCAGGAGGATTACCAAACTCCAGGTAGAAAGCTCCTAAGTATCAACAAAAGTTGCAGGCTGCATCCATAGTCGAACATGAAGTGTAAAGACAAATGCGATGACTAGTAAGTATCATGCATCTTTCTTCTTGGGATCCTAGTTTTGATTGGAATTTGGATCATCTTAGTAGAACAAGTTCGAGAGAGAACCTTTTAGGTATGAAATAAATTTTAGTTAGTGAGTGTGGGGCCGCAGTGTATATTTTCGGTCTTAAGCATGCCTTAATATCTAAACCGAAGATCTTGGGAAATCTGTGGATTTTACCTGATAAGGCTAAAAGCATGATGATGAGGTCTCCAGTGTTGTTCACTATCCGCACAGAAAACTACTACAAGCCAAAATTGAAGTACCTTAATGATTAGATGAATCGTAAGTTGAAGCGAGTTGAAACAGTTTTATCAGTTCTTTGTTTTTAGTCTGGAAAAGAGGATAAAACCAAGACACTTTGAAGTCATACAAAGTGGGATTTAATTGCCTTTGGCTGACATGCTAAGGAGCATTGATGGTTTGATGTTTTCCTCTTTCTTTGAACTGTGTCATAAGCAAATTTGTCAATTTCTTTTGTTGCATTTTTTTAAACTGGGTTTTTCCTCCATTAATCCTTTTTTCAACCTTGTGTCATATGAAAAAATTCCATATTTTTTGCAATTATGCAACAATTAGACTGCTTTCTTTATTGACAAAAGATTGAGGGCTCAAGTCTCAAGCCTTCAGTATGTTTTTTACCAACACTGCTGAAGAGTATCTCTGTGTGATCCTGAAGCATTATAAAATCTTTTTCAAGATGAGAAATTAAAAAGAAAATCACAGCTCTCCTCTTTGACTGAGAAAGGCACAAAGATAATATAACCAAATCAATGACTTTAACATCTGATAACATTATTCTGTGTTTCTCTAAGAGTTCAACACATTGATCTTTCTCAGGCAATTTCTTGGATTTCCGGGACTCCCAGGAGAAACCTTGTTCTCTTGTCTTTAGCACCTGTTTTCACTCTCCCGGTACTGAAGATAGAACTTGGCTTATAATAATAGTAGTTCAATTCTCATTGGTGAGGGTCCTTCTGGCGGAACAAGACTTTTATTTACTCTATCCAGTTAGATTCATTTTCTATATATTGACGAGTACTAATAGGTCATTGATTTTTGTCGTCATTTGTCAACTTGTTTCTGGATTTTAATTAAAACGTGGACTGTAACGAGTGGGAAGAGTTGCATGATAGTCAGGTTTAAACACATAATCATCGACCCTGTTCACTGTTCAGGCAGATTAAAAAACAGTAAAAAAATATTGACATTCATCCTTGATTAAACTGAGCAAGGGAATATCAAAGATCATTTTCAGATTTTTTTTTCCTTACAAATTTGTCAACTGAGTCATCACTCGTCATGGTCAAAACCCTGTTCGAAGGGTTTCCATTTCAGAAGAGAGAGACATAAGCAAATAGGACGAAATACCGTACAATTCTTCAAGTTATTTTCAAATAGCATTTTGATTGATGTTCTGGTTATTATGTCGTGGTGGATGAATTAGAAGTAGAATGTAGGCATCTTCATAAATACACCAAACATACAAAATTCTTTCATATATATATGATCTAATTTCAGTTCTAACCATATCTACCAAATTAACATTATAGATACTTGTTTGCACATTCCCATGGTTTTCAGCCCTTCAAACAGACCCCTCATTCTGAGTTTTTGTTTGTTCCAAGCTTCCCAGAAAGTTTCTGAAATTATCGACCCTTTGGACTAGTTGAATAGGACATCTTGGGAGATGAAACCAGCCCATGCATCCTAGAGTCATGTAACAGCAAATTAGAACTTGAATTTAGATTAAATTTTAGCAATGTGTCACTTCTGTTTCCTCGTAAAATTTATCAGAGGAACCCTCTTTGTGTTACCTGGAGGATGGTAAAAGCCTTCTCTGCAACATATTTTTGTGAAAGGGTTGCACCCCTTTGTTGCAGTTTATCTGGGTGAAGACATAACCTAGCTTTCTGATAAGCTTTTTTCACTTGTGAGCTTTCTTTGAGACTTGTTAATGGGATCATATTCCAACCGCTACTTTGCCGTAGAATCTGAGTTCAATTTCAATTGATCAATAAAAAGAAAAACAAGTTCGAGTCTTTCCGGAAGATCGATCCAATCCTTAAAACATGTTAAAGTTTAGTATCTCACTTGATGAAGGGTTGAAAGGAGCAATTGCATGTTATTTTCCTTCCCAGATGACCATAGCTTCACATCATCATCCAAAACCCCCATTTTAATCTGGCAGTTCCATCAAAGGAAAAACTACATGTTGATCAAATATTGTTCATAAGCTACTGATCAACAGAAAGAATCTACAATGGTAGCTTACATGTTCTTCTGATCTCTCTCTTTCTTCTTTTGCTTTGAATTTCTTTTCTTCGTCTTCCTGCTAATTAAGTAAAAGAAAAAAAACATTTATTTATATTTAGTCTGTGGCACTAAAAGTTTACTTCTGAAGAAGAGAGAAAAAAGCAAAAGGCTACTAATATTTACCTTTGGAGATTGCAATGTTCCATGGCCATTCATTTGAAGGTCAAATGATTCATGTGAATTCCATCTCCCTGCAAACCGTATATAGAAATTATGTTATTTTAACCAGTTGAGCTTTCATCATAAAGGTTTTCAGATAAAGACTAAAATATAAATCACAATCTCACCTTGTGTTTCAGGTGAGTGGGTTTTTTCAGAACTTTGGGAATTGTATTTTTCCTTAGCCCAAGCAATGGCTTCATCAATCGAAACTGCTTCACCGTTACTCTCTCTAAGATCAGAATTGATCTCAATAACATAAGAACTCATAACTTCATCATCATCATCGTCATAATCTTCTTCCCCGTCTCGTTTCATTGAATCACCAGGGAACCTGACTGGTTCATAACAGAGCGAAGAAGCAGGGGATGGAGGGGAATTCAGCCTAAAATCATCGGCTGATATTTTGACACTTCGAAAAGAATGGGGTTCCAAGCTTATGGTTTCTGGGGAAGTGACACGTCGACTGAATCCATAATTATAGGATGAGCTTCTCATCATGTTTTCGTATTCATTTTCCACGTATAGATTTTCGTTGTAGAAAGAACGGGTGCTTGGAAATACTGGCATCCCTTGTTGTCGCTTTGCAGCTTCCTCATCTGCCACCATTGTTGTTGAATTCCATCTGCACGGAACATTGATTGGCCTGCACCTCCAAATACACAGGATTTATTTCACTATCCTTTGGGACGAGTGTTAAATCTGACCTAAATCCCCCTAATTGATACTAATAAGAGACATCGAAGCCGGTGGAATTCGAACTAACTCAAATCTTTTCTAAACCGACTTAAATTAATCCAATTAATTCACCGATACAACTACAGACCTGCTTACAAATATAATACCAGAAGAGAAGACAGGGTTATAAAGGTCAAATCCATACGACAGAGCCAAAACAGTTGCAATTTGAAAAACAGTTATGTTAAACAGCTGTTATGGTTAATGCTTTCCTTTTTGGAAACTTATTAGACTACCTGAGCTGTGAAGCAAAAGACGACAAACCGACATCATCTCTGACCACCGGCCGGAGAGGGCTTAGCTCCTCAGAACTCAGAACCGACGATGAGTTTGACTTCGCCTTTGAATTTGACCTTGACCGCTCCCTCGACCGCCAGTTATCATCAACCGACCCAAAAATGTCACTGTAGAACCCTTCCTCTCTCGCCGGAATCTTAAACACTGGCAAGCTCCGTCCGTCCTTCATAGAACGAGAGGAAAAGAATTCCGGTGGCCGAAAAACCTCTTCGTAAAAGGATGTCGACCGGGTGGAGTCACCGGACAACTTCCAGCAAAGCACACTCCGAGGTGGGCCGCCGAAGACGTCAGAGAAGTCATCTACATCGACGTTATGATCAGGCACCACCATGTTAACATGGTTCATAGAAAAACTTGAATTTTCCATATATTTTCGTCGAGGTAGATGATGGGTAGTTGACATTCCCATGCACATTCGCCGAGATTCGTCCATTTAACTTGAAGCAAACTTTAGCAATTCAAAAGGGGAAAAAATGAAGAGATTTATGTTCTGGGTTTGTTAAAGATTATTACTTGTGTGTGTGTATATATATATATATAAAAGAAGTGAAAGTGGTAAGAGCTGGGTGGAAAGAATTAAAGAAAAAGTAGCTTTTAAAAAGGTTAATTTAATTAATTCTGTTGTATTCTTTCTAAGCTTTTATGAATTATGATGATGAAAGTAGACGCACGTCATCCACGCCTGCTTGCCAGGAAAAGCTTGTTCCTTTAATTGCGTGTTTTTATCAAAATATCACCCTCAAACTCATTAATTACCTGTCAAACACCATCTTTTCTAATATTATCGATCTAACACCCTTTCTGACAAAGTGACAATAAAACGTGAATCACCATTTGCTCCTTCGCGGGGTTCTATCTAAACTGGCGCCATGTAAAGGAAGGCGTGAATCATCATTCGCGCCTTCGTTGAACCTATGATATATACGGAAGGCACAGATCATGAAACGCACCTTCTATGTGAATTGTCGACATAACGCCAAGTTAAAAGGCGTGTTTCAAGGGCACACCTTCCAAGATCCACATCATCCCTCAAAGCATTTAAAAAAAATATACTTTAAAAAATTAAAAAAATAAAACTATAGGAACTAACATTATAATTTAATACATATTATTTTCATTAGTTGAAGAGCTTAATGAGGTTAACTTATATAGGCATATTAGAGTGTTTAGGTTATGTTTTTTGACAATATAGAATAAAAGTTAAAAGGTGTATTAAACTTTTTTATTTCTATATCTAATGAATCTATTAATGCACTATTGTTAACTCCTTCGGGATCTCCCCTTTAAAATTGTTGAAGCTCAGGTACCTAATCAATTTTTTGGTTAGTAGGAAGCAACAATATTAATTATCATAACGTGAAAAAAATACTTCTAGGTGTTTTTACAGATGTGTTAGACTCTTAAGCTATCCAATTTCAGAATGAAAAATATCTTGTAGCTTATTACATCTCAAATTACTACAACAAAAACATATAATTAAATAAATTACATGAAAATTACTCATTATCTCATAATTTAGATTTAAAACAAAAGAACATACAATATTTTAAGGCGTTTGAACCGTTCGAATATAATTAATCGTATATTCGATCTTACATGAGTATATTGTTTCCCCTTTTATATATATCAACTTCAAAATTTAATTTAGTACAAACCTTAATAATAAATATTAACCTAATGTAATTTTTTAAATATATTAACATATAAAAAATCTAATCTTAATTAATATAAACCTTAATAATAAATATTAACCTAATGTAATTTAACAATAGTGTATAAGTAGATTCAATAGATATAAAGATTAAAAAGTTAAGGAATACATCTTTTAGCTTTTATCCCACGGTGTCAAGAAACATAACCTAATTACTCCAATATGCCTATATAAGCTAGCCCTATTAAACTCTTTAATTAATGGAACTAATATGTATTAAATTAAGATGTTAGTTCCTATAGTTTTATTTTTTAAAGCATATTTTTTTAAATGTTTTGAGGGATGACGTAGACCTTGAAAGGTGTTCCCCTCTCACGTGGCGCCAGCTTGGTCAGAACTTCGCGAAAGCAGGAATGGTAATCATGCTTTATTGTCACTTTATCAAAAAATAGTGTTAGATCGGTAATATTAGGAGAATGTGGTTGGTTGATAATTAATAGCTCTGAGAGTGATATTTCTATAAAACCGCCTTTTAATTGTGTTATTTGAGTCCACAATGAAATTATTTTTTAGCATCTTTCTCTTTTTTTGTTGGAATTGTTGAATTTTGATCCAGAATTAAAGAGAGAAAAATATTTAAGTTTATGAGGTTGTTCTTTGTATATATATATATTAAAAACAACAAAAAGGAAATTTATACGTGTTTTTTAAATGCTTTTTTTCTTCATTTACATTCTTTTTAATTTGATATGATGAGAAATTAAATTATGATTATTGGAATTAAAAAGTTTAAGAAACAAAGCTAGTAGGCGCAAAGTATTAATTTAATATATGTTATGGTACTCTTGGTCAAAAAAAAAAAATGAAATTTACATCTTTATATAGTAAGTCATAGTATTTGTATATTATTATATCCAAAAAAATTGAACCTTTAGTTTATACCAAATAATTCCTTATTTTTAACACCCAATAAATAATTAACTTTGATTAGTACTCTTATAAATTCCTAATCTTTAATTATATTTTTTTGACAGTTCAGATATAAGAAATATTAATCGTTATACCACAGATTTAGATTGAAACAGTTCACAACGGGAGTTTCGGGTAATTTTACAGAGAAATCATTTCTCTAATTATTGCATGATATGCTTGTGGAAATGCTTGAAGAATGTACTGTTTCCTGAGAGTAATCTTGGATTATATTCCAAGATAAAATAAAAGAAGATGAATTTATGATGATGAGATGAGGCCAGGGATGGGTTGATAACAGTGTAGCAGACAATGCATGCTCTTAAATCGATTACCATCAAATCCCTCTACTTTTCAACGCAAGTCATCCTCAAAATCTTCAACACCCAGATGGTAAAAGTTATTAATCACCCCCCCTCCCAACACACAAAAAACAACACTGCTTTGCGTTGAACAAAAAAGGGTAAATCAATTCAGGAATGGAGCAAAAGTGAGATCAATGCGTAGAATAATTAAGTGACCGACAAATACAACACTCGGGGTTTGCTTTCAGTGTTGAGCTGTTATGGTCCAAAGACAACTCTGCTGCGAGAATGTGGTGGGGGAAGGGAACATCTCTATTCCAACCGAACCAAAAAGTGATATTAATCATTTGTATATAAAAACAAATCAATCGGTTTTCTTTCAACGGTGTACCAAAATCAGCACTGAAAGATATAACCAAAAGATTAAAGTAAGCTCAAAGCTTGTTGGCATATATGTCTCTGGACCTTCTTCAGTTGCTGGCCAAGTTTGTTTACCGTTTTACACAAAGATTAAAGCAATCAAAGCTTGTTGGTTTGATTATTGGATATTCGATCAGATGACACTTTACAAACTTCTCTCGAAAAAAATCAAAATCTCATCAACATATATCCGTATATGTATTCTGCAAACTTTTTCAAATATAATATCTTCATTATTGTAGTTTGAAGTAACCAAGATATTTGCAAATGGAAACAATAGCATGCACAATTTATTCAAAAACTTCCAAAGAGGATAGAGACATGGGAATGGAACCTTGTGGAAAGCGACTATAGGGTGATGAGTTTGATCACTTTTGTAGCAAAAAAGTAAAACTGGGGACGAAGATGATAAAATGACAAAAATGTACATGCATATAATTGCACATTTCGAGTAAGAGGAAAAAAAGAAATGCTAAATAATGTAAGGCAGAAATAATGCTATAGAGAAGTGCATGCGACTCCTAATTGCTGCAAGGAACTTAGACAGTTTGATTCATTGTAAACTCTCCGTTTTCCGATTTCGGCTTCATGTTTTGTGAAAATATAGGACGTTTGTTGATGATGAGATGATACTATTGGGAGGGGGTTTGTTTTGGTTGTTGATAAGTATGATGAGAGAAAAGTGTTGTTTCGATCTTTCTGGTTTCGGTTACTTTCTGGCTTATGTTTCCAGACCGGTAGGCAGTAGCCACTAGGCTCCTTTGACCGTTTCTACCTAAAATATCTCCCATCTTCAAGATAAAGATGGAAGCATTAAGAAGTTAATGATTTGAATGGAATTCGACGAGTGTGTTTTGGTTTTTGCAAGTCAAAGCATCGAAGAGCCAAGAAAGCACGACCCGGTGCTGTCACAACCCAGAAGAAAGGAAATAAAGTTCCATTGAATACATGAAAAGGAGATGAAGGGGTTGCATGTTTCACAGGTGGATGGGTCGGCCATGAAGCAGACATGTTAGAAGGTTCCATATGGTGCCTTTCGACATAAGATACCCTCCCTTCTTTATATAAAATCCAATTGAAATATTACACCAAAATGCAGTTAAAGCCCCACACTTAACCCCTTTTTTTCTTCTAATTTCATCTAGATTGCTCGACTCAGAGAGGAGACGTGTCTTCAAAGTGTAGTTTGTAAACAACGATGGCTTATTAGTATTTTAGTGTCATAATATAATAACTCACGACGTATCAGTCTTGTGTAAACCAAATCCTCTGCAAATCTCTGACAAGATATCCTGTACGGTTTGCAGGAACATCCGAAGATCGAGAGATTTCATGCAATACTGTGAAATGAACGCATGGTGATGAGCCATGTGAGAGAACAATCCGCTCTTTCCGGATCCACAGCGGGCGGACAATGTTGTACACAAATCATGGACCACTGTGCACACTCAGCCCTCGCTGTAGAAACTTGGGTTGGATCCCCTTTAGCTTCTCAATTACGGCGCCTCCAAAAACATTTTTGCCCGAACACGGTGACTGAATTTTTCAACCAACTGGCAGGTTTTGCAAAACCCTTGCTAACCATGTCCTCGCTAGATCATCACGCGACTCAGATCAAGCACACTGCTTTGTGTGTGTGTTTTTTTATGAACGAGTACAACCTAGTATTCATCCCCTGTTGTCGTGTCCATGTTCAATGGAATTCTCAACAGCAAAAACCAAGTTCAAAAAAGAGCTGTTATTCTCTACATGTGTTCACGTAAGGCTAAAAGTCTACGGAATGTCTCGTTGGTCTAAGGATTCATGCACTTAGTTGAGAGATGTAAATTGGCTTGGATACTTCCCCATGAACTTAAATGAAACGTATGGACAAAGTATGCAAATTGTGGACTGTCCTGTCCTGTCAGCCTAAATAAAATCTAATAAATACATAAATTACAAGTTATTTTACCATCATTTTTCTATCCATTTATCCGTTTTTGTTTTGTGAACCAGATCTCCCTACATCTTTTTGGGAGTATGTTAGGTATGGCTCATAAATATACCAGTAAAGAAGATAGGAGATGGAGCGGAGTGAGCGAAGCGAACATCAATTGTCCTTACAAAGAAAGTCTCGTTGTGGGGTTACGA